TCGACTAATTCCACTGAAGAGATCACCTAGTATTTTTGCATGCGTTGTAGTCGAATGTGAGAGCTCATGGTTCTAAACCCACTTCATTGATCACTAGGCCACACCCTTTGGCTAACTGCCCTTCTCAGTTAAATTTGTTCATCTTAACATCACTAACCCCAATTGTCTCCTTCGACAAAGGCTTAAGATTAGCTTTATTAAAGATACAATAAGGTTTTGGAATGGCTTCCATGGGACATGTGATTCCTAAAATATCTAATTCTCTTTCCTATAGATTGGCTATCCCAATTATTCATACTATGGTGGCTCTCTTATGTTTAAAGCACTAATTATGTCTAATTGGAAGGCGATGAGATCCAGGTGTCTTAGGCCGTTCCATCTACTCTTTTGATGAAGTAATGCAAACGTGTGCACGACTAATTACAGTTGTTTCTCTTTGGTTAATTGCCTAAATCAGTTGAGTGTATAATTATTCTCGAATATAAAACTACCTAATCAATCTAAAGTATTTCTTCAGTCAATCCAAACTAAACATATTTGGCATAATGATGCTTCATAATGACTGATGTAAAACTTGGAAAATTTAATAAATAGAATCACCATGGAAGAAAATTGAATTCGAATTAATTACATCAACATTAGTTTCATACACTCCTAACTCAAAAAATCTACTCCATAAAGAATTAAACAAAACCAAGAGAAGTTTACTAGATATTATCATGATAATGAAAGTAAATTAATGGGAAGAAAAACACATGGATTTAGAATGAAGACTTGATCATTTCTTCTTTCGTCTTATCCTCTTTGGGAGCTTCCTAAAGGGTTTCTCTTCAACTTGAAGCTCTAAATATGGTCTATGACCTCCTTGAAGTCACTTTCTATTGGAACTTTCATGTCAAATTTAATAGAATGCAAGAAAGATGTTTCCTGTAGGACTTCTTGCAGCCTTAATATGTTGGAGGGACACAACAATGGTTTTCTAGCACTGCAGCTCTGAGCCACTATTTTGCAAATCTAGTAAATTGGCCATGTCTCTTTGTAGAATATCAAAATTTGAATTGGTTTATAGCGCTGGAATCTAGACTTAATGGGCTACCATTTTTCCAAAAATCATGGCTCAGCTCATTGGAATCTTTTCAATATCAATTGTTGAAGTTGAGAGATTATCTGGTATAATAATAGTATTTTTTTTTTTGCCAAAACTATTTTGTTTCCTTCCTCCCGCAAAATTAGATAGAGATGTATGGAAGAAACCAATGAAATGCCTTATAAAACATAGAAAAACTTAAGCCAAAAATCTGGATTTTATCAATATAAAAACAACGATATCATTTCTATCACTACTTTCTTGACCGGATAAGTTTTGTACTATTCAGTTTCTTGAAGCTGTGTGATCGGGAAGGAGTGGACTCCATTGGATTGGACAATGCTGCCGATCAATTAGGTCTTTGCCCTGTCTCTCAGCTTTCAATCCTCACATTATCTTTCCAACTGTGTCAAAACAGATATGCAGATTTCTTCTTGCATGTGTTCAAACAGAATCTTTTTGTGGTTGTAGGTGTCGAGAGGCGTCGCATTTATGATATTGTCAATATTTTGGAAAGTGTTGGGGTAATTCTTTATCTTTTCGTCTTCCTCTCATAAATCTATATGATTGAATGACTAAGGCAGTTTATTTCAGGTTTTGTCACGAAAAGCTAAGAATCAGTATAAATGGAATGGGTTTAGTGCAATTCCTAAAGCTGTAGATTTGCTTAAGGTAGTTTTCTTTCTGATAAGTAGATGTGTGTAATGTAGTTGGTATCCATTTTCCTTGTCTCATATGGACGTTTCCCGGGAATTTGATATTTTTTGCTTATTTTGTAGAAAGAAGGACTAAAAGATCAGTCCGCTGTCTCCTCCACTAGCCACAGTGTTGCAAATGTATGTACACCATTCTTCTTTCACCCTTCCCCACACCAAGGCATCTATATAGGGTGATTTGAGTGGGACTGTTAGCAGTAATAGGGTTGAGTAATAGCTCAGTTATAGATACTCTCCAATTAGTTCACTCAATTAGTTATTTATTTTCTCAGTGATTGCATCGTCTTCTTATCATGATATAACACCGCGGACTTCTTCTACTAGGTAATAGCTTGTAATCATTCAGATCTCAAGGAAAAAGGGCAAGACAAGACTTCTGGATCACATAAAATTGGTGAGTTTCTTATCTGTATGTGTGATGGTTGTGATTTTTGAATGCGTTCAATTCTTGATTTTTTTTCCAGTTGAGGGTATTATTCTAATATTCTGAAGAACTGCTGGATATCCTATATCACATTCGGTATTTAGTGAGACTAACTTGATGTCTGATTGTGTAGACAACCGGAAGGAGAAGTCTTTGATGATTCTTGCCCAAAATTTTGTAAAGCTTTTCCACTGTTCTGATGTAAGTGGAGCACATAGATCTTCTGACCAGTTGCCAACTATAAGTCAGCTAATGCCTTACCTTCTTTAGGTTGACTTGATCTCTCTTGATAAGGCTGCATCAGCTTTGCTTGGTGATATGCACGATCCCATGGCTATGAAGAGTAATTCATGTTCTTGTTATGTTGCTATCTTTAACTTATGGTGAAAAACTTGATGGAAAAGTTGTTACTCTCTCATGAATATTTTGCAGCTAAGACCAGACGCTTGTATGACATTGCAAATGTTTTTGTGTCCATGAATCTCATTGAGAAGGTTGGTTATTGAATTTGACTGATCAGTAACTGAATATTCTCAAAATAGTGAAGTAGAGAATTATTTCTTTTGATATTGATCTTTGCAATTCATATGTAGATACGTAGTCCAGATAATGGAAAACCAGCATTTAAGTGGATAGCCTGGAAAGAAAATCCTAGGACTGGGTCCCCTGCAGCTTCTAAATCAGATGATTCAAAGAGGAGAACATTTGGGGCAGAGATCACAAATACAACTTCAAAAAGATGCAGGGCTGATTCTTCATCTGATCTAGTGTCAAATGGGCAGGTAAAGAGGTTGAAAGTTGCAAAAGATGATGAATTGAAAGATAAAAATCAGGAGATGTCAACAGAGCGGCTTAATGGACATGGTACAATGGAGTTTGTATTTGGTCCTTTTGGTCCAGCAAGTCTGCCCAAAGCAGGAGTTTCTGGAAAAGAAAATTTGAAACAGACTCAGAATTGGGAGGACCTGGCTTCTACATATCGCCCTCAGTATCAGAATAAGGGTACTTTCTAAAATCTCATTTGGAAAAGTTAAAGCACCTATTATTCTACCCATTCCAAGTGAGTAGGGGAGGAGGGGTGACACCTATTTTGGTCTATATTCTCATATATGTTGGCCCAGAAGTTAACTCAGTCCATATCAAGGCAGGGTCTTGGGTTTGATCCTGTTTCTGCTCCCCTCTCCCCTACTTCTCCTCTTGAACGAAAGGAGAAAAAAAAAGAGAACGGAAAAAATTATTCATACACTTAGGCATGCCACTTTTACTGTTTTTGGCCTCTTTTCTGAAAAAAAAACCCTGTCTTTAACATCTTAATCCACGAGATATTTAGAACTAGCAGCTAATCATTAAAGATTTTTAGTAAGTAGACTTCATAATGTTGGGGAACGTATAAGAAATGCCACAAACAAAGAGAAGAAACAAGAAAATGCTACCTTTTATCACTAAGGCTTTTGCTTTTCTGAAGATTAATCTCCAATTTGCTTGATGCTCTTTTTCTTGTCTTATATTGTATACTTACCAATTATTTAATTAGCATGATAATTTTGTACGCCCGACAGTCTATAGCATGCTCTTGAAAAGATTTCTAGGTGTCAACTGCTTCTGCCATTTTTAAAACTACTTATGAAAGACTACATTTCTCAAATTTATTTTATCCAATTTCTAGCACCCAATTTAGCTCCTACTAGAGTAAAATGTGATTTTTTGTTTATGTGAACCTGTGTTTATATCCCATGTAGTTATTGCCTTAATGAAGAGGTTGAAATGTTTCCATTTGCCAAATTTTACAGCTGCAAGTGAGCTTTTTGCTCATTATGTTGAGGCATGGGAGTCGTGGCAGGTTGAAGCTGCCAATGAGCTGCACAAACAACATCTAAATTAATGCAATCTTGGATCTCTTTTATTTCAGGTGGCATCGAACACATTCAGCAGGAATATATCTGATGCTGTTACTCTCAGTTTTTCTTGAGAGATTAGTGGTTATTGGTTGAATATCTCCTCGATACATCTATCAGTCGAGTATGCGGCTATTATCAGTTTGTGATATCCACACCCTGATGCTAGTTCTGTGCGGTACTATTGTAGTTCCCAGTTTTATCTGGATGAGTTTCCACTTGCAAGGGCTCGAGCTTACTAGGTTGTAAAAGACAAATACCTGCTACCATTGATGATGTATGTGTTCAAGTTCCCTCACTCCTATTCAAACCTCTTGAAGCTTTCCAAACTGAAGTTGATACTTCTATTTAAATTTCATTGAGCCAAGTCGACTGTGTTGTAAATAGTATGCAGATATCTTAAATCTTTGCTTGTCATCTCACTTTGGAAGGAATGTACATCAGCAATTGAAATTTTTTGCATTTCATTCCAAAAGTGGAAGCCAGAAAAACTGTTTCTTCTGACAATATGCACTATGTTGGCCAACTTGTATTTGATATGGAGATTCAAGTTAAGACGGATTTGCCAAGAGTCATTCTTGAGCTTAAACGAGCTTCTCATACATGCACATTTTGCAGAATGGGTATACCTTTCAAGTTACATTATTTGCAACCTTAAGTGAGTTTGACGGACTCTCAAGCCCTGGTTACCCTAGTTAAGTGGGGACGAGTTGAAGGTTCGTGATCTTGATCATATTTCTAGATATACTTATTTTCAAGCACACATTACGTTTATTCATTCAATATATAGACTTGTGGTCATTTTAAATTTATCCCAAGTGCTTCATTTGAACTCTTGATGCGGTAACTGGTAGCACTTTGATCAACAGCAGCATGTCTACAGAGCAAAATCCAAAATAATGCTATTCATTCATGATAGGAAATCAACAATTTTCCAGAAATATAAAAACAACCGATAAATAGTATATGTAAAGATGTACCCTGTTAAAAGGGAGGAACTTGTATATGAAATTACATTTATTTTTCTTTCAATATTTTTAGGCCCAAAACAGGCTATAAAAATGCATTTCAAGTCTATCTTTTTCAATGGAAAAGACAAAGAATAATGATGTTAATCCATGTCAAACTTCACTTTGGATCGCTAAAGAAGCCGTTGATATTTGGCATAATCTCTGGAGACTTGTTTCGAACAAACTTCCTAAGAGCATGCTCAGCATATTTCTCCCCTTCTGAAAAATTGTCCAGCACCCCTGCTGCCCGGTTTTCCTTTGTCACCCTGAATTTTTTGCAAACACGAAGATATCAGTTAAACTATGTACCGACTGTTAAATGAAAAATTAATGCTTTTTTTCACTGTTAACTTTCTTTTTTGTTGGGGGGTTTGTAGTAACAGAGCTACATGTCGGTAGAGGGTTCAATTGAATAGGGATGGCAATTGGGGCGGGGCGGGGCAGGGCAAACAGTAAACGGGGCAGGGCAGGGAAATATGTAAATGGGGTAGGGCAGGGCAGGGCAGGGCAAAACTACATTTTTGAAAAATTTTAATGGGGCAGGGCAGGTTGTAGGTCAGCCCCTTGCTTACTTTATTGTCCATGTCTTCTTTTCTTTCATAAATTGATATTGAAGTAGCTAGAGGATGTCACAGACACAAATTTGGGATAATACCTTTAAAGGATAGTAGAATTTTCTACGTATTGATGAATGTGTCATGAAAGCTACAATTAAAGAAATAGACAATCCAAAGTATACATAATAATATGCGTTATCTTGAGAGTGAGAGAAGCCATGTGTTGTATGATTTTCAACCGTGACATTTACTAAATGCCAACTTTAATTGTTCGCAATTTATAATTCGTGATAATATTTTAAAAAGAATGCCGAAGTCCCTTCTTAATTGTCAATATTTATAAAGACAAACATCCATATATGAATACACGTAAAATTTCAGTACTTCAATACCTGTTAAGAATTATGTATCTTCTCATAGTTAATCTTCGAAGATGATGGTTTAAAATCAAATAGCACGTAAATCTTCGAAGATGATATTCTTTTTTTTTTATTTGCCAAAGTGGATGTAAAATATGGTATTTATATAAATATATGGGTAAGACAAAGTATTTACTGGGAAATGGGAAAAAAAAATGAATCTAAACGGGGCAGGGCGGGGCAGGACTTAATAGGGCAGGGCAGGGCAAAATTTGGAACAAGGCTAAACGGGGCAGGTCAGGTCAGGTCAAAATCTTAGTGGGTCAATGGTTGCCCTACCCCGCCCTGCCCCAATTGTCATCCCTAATTGAATCCCCTAATTGAATCCTCTATATCGAAAAACAGTACTGTGCAAATAGGGTAAAAATATTCTAAAAAATAGATAAATTGGGAATCGCCTAAGCCTTGACACAAGAGAAGCTTCCAAAAAGTGGCTCAAAAATTAATTTACGCTACGTTCTAATCTCAGGTGTGACATTCATACTTTTTATTGTCTCATTCACTGTATTCCAGACTCTGCCACCGTGCCACGGGTAGAAAGATGCAATCAAGTACAACACAACTTAAAGTTGGGTACTTTTCATAGCGTAGTTGAGATTATACCAGTTGATCAACAGATTTAATTTCTACTACCAACAAACAAAAAAATCGAACCAAAAAGGCAATATCCATTGAGAAGACCAATTTTACCAGGTTTTCCTACTTCCTTTTCAAGGTCTTACAAAAGAGAGATTTGTAACCTCAATTGATGCTCTACAAGTCATACTAGTTACATTCAAGAGCCTTTCCTTATTATAGTATAGTCGAAAATTGTCCAAGACACTAAAGCTAAGAACGTTTCATTTGCCTCCAGATCCTCACTACTCAGGTAATCTACATCGGGGCGGATCTAGTGTATCACGTTGGGCTATTTTGGTACAAGGGATAAGGAATTAATCCCGGGATTAAACTTGAGAAGAGTTTATCCTACGTTTAGTTGGAATAAAATCGCGGTATAACTAATCCCGGGATAACTTGCTATTTTTATCCCTACGGGAGAGTGGGATAATAATCCCAGAATAACTAATCCCGGGATTATTAATCCTGGGATAACTTGTTTCCCAACCAAACAACCCCTTATGGGTTAATTTAAAAACCAATAACTTTGGCTCGGGCACTGTATTAGAGTTTGTTTAAGAAGCCACTAAATAAATACAAATAATAAATCTTGAACCCAGTAAATCAAATCCCGAATCCCCAAATTGATCACTCAACTAAGTCTGAACTCTAAGCTATTTGGATGCCGGGTCATACGAACTCTCTATATTCATGTGTGATCTAACCAGGCGGACCTAATTTATTCCAATACTACTAAATAACTCCAACACTGACATAGAAATCTTTGAACAGATCAAAAAGAGTCTAGCAAACACTGGATCTAAACTGAAAATTTATCAATCATACTCTTTATTTATTTATTTATTTTTTTAAAAAAGTACATGTATCCAATTGAGGTTGGATTAATCATATATACCACAAATTAGACAAGGCATAAACAAATGTGAAAAGATGCTAGAAGCCATACCTGACTTCAGGGTTGCCGCAGATATTACGAACCAATTGCATTCCACAGATTCCTACAGCAACGCCTACGGCTGCAAAAAGTGGATACACCTGTACCACCATAAAAATAGCATCTTCAGTAATTCAGATCTAAGTCCCCAAATTGATCCATAAACAAAATCGCCAATTTTCAGGGCAAGTGAAAAAGAAAAATCAAATATTTGTAAGGAGAAAAAAACAGACCTCGGGCCTCAGCCAACGGTTAAGGGTGGAGGAAGCCATAGAAAAACGGGGAAGCGGAAGAGACGCTAACTTTACAGAAGACTATTTAGATGATGACCTAAACCTGTTATTTTGGTCCTCCCCCGTATTTATATTCTCTCGAAGGACTTCCTCATTGGCTGATTTATTTCAATTTACGAAAGGCCCATTAACTTTTAACATAATGAGCTGTAATTTGGATGGAAAAAAAAGGGAAATGACATTGTATCTCAAAATAATAGCCGAAAAAATATATATATTTTTTTTATATATACATCCAATATGTTATATACAAAATTATTATAAATTTATATGCGTTTTTGGCTATCAAATGTAAATAATTTCTGGTACGGGCTAAAAATGAAAAAAAACCCCAAAAAACTGTAATTTGGTTTTTTTTTGTTTTTTTATCTGAACTTGAAAGTTTCTAAAAATGGTCATAGTTAAAATCGTTCATTGTGTAAATCAAATAAAACGAATGATAAGTGGTTCTAGCAATTAAATAAAAAGAAATGCGCCTCTAACAACAAAAGCGTTGATAAATATTATAAAATTATTAAATGCAGACGATTGGGCCGACCATTAAAAAGAAATTCCAACTGGGTGGCTCCTGGAAGCCGCAACTTTTAAAAGCGTCGTGATGCATGAACTATGGCACAACTTATTTGACCATTAGCTAGTGGCTCTAGATATGAAAATTAGTTTTTTCTCCTTTGGATACTCTATACAAACATTTGTCTTTAAAATTTGGCAAAATACATAGAAACTACGGTAAGACGTGAAAACACTCAGATTTCATTTCGGACTCGATATATGGAATTGTCTTGTGCCATATTGAGATTGTTCCGGAGAGATGGTCCAAGCCCATTAAAAGAAGAACATAAGAAGAGTCTGATAATGACTTTAAAGGCTCTTAAGAAAAAAACTTAAGTGATCAATGAATATCCGATAACGCTTTTTTATTATTGTTATTAGTATTCCTACTCGCGCGTTGCACAAAATATAATAAATTTAAATTTTTATAAAAAAATATTACTTGAAAAATAACAAAGAAGCATTCAAATGCTATTATGTTGTGAATACAAATCGAGTAAATGCTGACAGAGATGACATCAAGGATGCCATGAGAGAAGAACCCATGGGTCTGCCACGTAGGAGTTCTAGAAAAATAATTGCACCAGCTAGACTTGAGGATTACGTTTGGAGAGGTGGGGGATCACATGAATAAAAGGACAGAGTTTGTTACGAAAAATGAACTATATAAGCACCAGCAGTATGGCATTAAGGGCAGGCAATTCTGTTATAAGTGAACTCTAATTCCCATCTCCTTTCTTCTGGTTTCTCACCTCTTTCTTCTGGACCTCACCTCCTTCTTCTATCTATCTTTAGCTCTTATTTTTTGCAATTCCTAATGTCTTATGTTAACTGGTTATGATCTTTTCCTATTTGAGTTGTAATTACATACCCATCTTATTAATATAGCTAAATCTTTTGGTTACTGTTTCATTAACTTTGAGTTGAGAATTGAGAATACTACATTGGTGCTTTCATTGAGAGGTCTCTCATGGAGGACCAAAAAGTACTCAAGGCTTTCATCGAGGAGTCTATTCATGATTCAATTCAAGAAGTGAAGGAATCCTTTTCTAAAAAAATGGTTGAGATGCGTGGCATACTGATGGAGGCATTGTTAATCAAAGCGCCGACGGGTAATAACCGGCGAGATCCTGCAATGGAGATCGCTAGACAGGAAAATGCATCGGCAACCGTTCTCCGACACAAGCCAGCCTCGGTAGTGTTTGGGCGGTTTCGTGGTGAAAACCCAGAGGTGTGGATATTTCAGGCGGAGCGGTATTTGGATTTTTATCGAATTGAGGACGATCAAAGGCTGACCATAGCGTCGTTCTATCTCGACGATGAAGTACTTGAGTGGTATCGATGGCTGTTTAGAAATAAACAACTAGTCGAGTGGCTGCACTTTGTAGAGAAGGTGCGAATTTGCTTTAAATAAAAGGGACTCGAGTCGGCAGAGGAAAGGTTAGTGAAACTCCAGCAGGTTACTATTGTATTGGAACTACAGGGCAGGTTTGAGGCCATCGCTAACGAAACAGATGATGTTTCTGAAAGGCTTATGGTGAAGCCTTTTATCTCTGGGCTTAGAGAAGATATTAAAAATTCAGTGTTAAGCCATGAGCCCAAAACTTTTGAAGAGGCCCTTACGCAGGCCCACATACACGAGCGCCGGATCCAAGCTGAGAGAGGACCAGTCCGACCCACTTTGGCTAACAAAGGTACGCCCCTGTTACCCAGCCTTAACACAGCTCCGAATCATTATCCTTCTACCTCTCACAGCCTCAGCGCCACTATACCATCAAAATCGTCCACCTCCCAAACGCTTGACCCATGTTGAGATTCAGAGTAGGCGAGAGCGTGGACTATGTTATTATTGTGAGGAGAAGTACACCGCCGGACACAAATGTAAGACTCCCCCTCAACTTTTACTTCTCGCCAACGAGCCTGAGAATGACTCGCTCCAAACAGATCTTTTGTTTCTGATGATATTTCTGCCGAGGAGATGCAGTGCTTGGAGGTACAAGAGCACTCTGCCATCTCCTATCATGCTTTAATAGGAGGACACTCACCTTCCACTCTCCGCTTCACTGGTCAGTTGAATGGTTCCCAAGTACAGATTCTAGTCGATGGAGGAAGTACTCACAACTTTATCCAGACACGGGCAACAAAGTTTTTACAACTTCCAATTGAGACCATTCCAATAATATCTGTCATGGTAGGCAGTGGACAGCGTCTGCAGTGTAATGGAGTTGCCCGGCAAATGACTCTTATGATCCAAGGAAGTACATTAGTGGAAGACCTCTATGTATTGTTGTTTCACGGTTTAGATGTTGTATTGGGGGTAGCATGTCTTGCTAAATTGGGTCCTGTGCTGACTGATTATGCTACAAGGATATTTGAGTTCTCATTGAATGGGTCTAAGGTATCTTGGCAGGAAAATTCACCAACAGATGTGCAACCGATACAATTACACAGTTTGAGAAGGATGGCAGCCACCGATGCTATTGCTTCCTTCTTCTGCCTGGAACTGGTAAATGGGGAGAAGGCGCCGTTAGAGGAACCTGTGGCTGATTTGGCATCCCTTTTAGATTCCTTTAAGGATGTGTTATAGAAGCCAGCAGGGCTACCCCCTTCGCGTGTACAGGATCATGCCATACATCTTAATCCAAGAGCACAACCGGTGAATGTCAAACCATATCGGTATCCCTATTTTCAGAAGCAGGTTATGGAACAACTTGTAGTTGACATGCTCAGAGAGGGAGTCATCAGAACTAACACTACTCTTTTTTCTTCTCTTGTGCTTTTGGTACACAAGAAGGATGGAACATGGTGGTTTTGTGTCGATTGTCGGGCTTTGAATGCATTAACTATATGCGACCGCTTCCCAATCCCTACCATAGATGAGGATTTTGATGAGCTGAATGAGGCACAATTCTTTTTAAAATTGGACTTGCCATCTGGTTACCATCAGATACGAGTCCGACCTGAAGATGTCGCGAAGAAGGCATTTCGCACTCATGATGGACATTACAAATTCCTTGTAATGCCGTTCGGGCTTACCAATGCCCCTTCAACTTTCCAAGCAACTATGAATGACATTTTCAGGCCATATTTGCGGCGCTTTGTCTTGGTTTTTTCGATGATATATTGATCTATATATCAACTTGGAAAGCTCATTTGGAGTACCTGGAGCTTGTATTAGTTCGGCTTAGGCAACATTAGTTAGTTGCCAAACAATCAAAATGTCTATTTGGTCAGTCATGGGTGGATTATTTAGGACACATAATTTTTGCTAAGGGATTGTTTGTAGATCCTGTGAAGATTGTTGCTATCTAGCAATGGCCTTCCCCTTGTACAGTGAAGGAGATACGCAACTTTTTAGGATTATCCGGCTATTATCGGTGTTTCATCTACCACTATGCTGCAATAGTGGACCGTTATTGGACCTATTGAAAAGGGATTCTTTTAAATGGAGTGAGGCTGCACAGCAGGATTTTGAAACATTGAAGCTTAAATTAGGATCCACACTTGTCTTGACCTTACCAGATTTTAGTCAAGAATTTCAAGTTGAAACAGATGCGTCTGGCCAAGGGATTGGGGCCATTTTATCGCAAAAGGGGAACCTCATAGCTTATTTCAGCCAAAAGATGAGTTCTCGCATGCAGAAGGCGTCGACCTATCATAGAGAAATGTTCTCCATTACCCAAGCGGTGAGCAAGTGGAGACAATATCTTTTGGGACGGAGATTCACTATTTATACTGATCAACAATCCTTGAAAATCTGACCAACCAAACTATACAAACGCTCGAGCAGTAGAAATGGCTCACCAAGCTGGTTGGTTATGACTTTCGCATAGTGTATAGGCCTGGAAAACAAAACACAGTAATTGATGCTCTTTCCCGCACACCAGATGCATCACTAATGGTTTTGTCTGTTAAGACCCTTGCAATTGAACAAGAGCTGAGGGATTTGAATCAGAACCATCCAGAGTTAGTAGACATACGACAACGGTTGCCGCTTAACAAGGATGGCTTCATGCACTATCAGTTCAAGGATGGGCTACTTTTTCTTAAAGGAAGGCTAGCTATTCCTTCAGATTCACACCTGCGCCATAAACTTATGTTTAACTTCCATTACACAGCAATTGGGGGACATGCAGGGGTATCTCGCACCTATCACCGACTAGCTTCCAATTTCTTTTGGAGACAAATGCGTAAAGATGTCCAGTCCTTTGTAGCTACTTGTCAAACTTGCCAGCAAATGAAAGACACTCATCTGCACCCATCAGGTCTATTACAGCTTCTCCCGATCCCCGATCAGGTGTTTGAAGACATAACTATGGATTTTGTCACTTGCCTTCCAAGCTCTCGTGGAATAACAACCATTATGACAGTAATTGATCGCTTGACTAAGTACGGGCATTTTATTCCCCTGCCCTCCACATTTTCTACTCATTCGGTGGCTGAAGCTTTTGTACTTGGAGTAATTAGGCTTCACGGACTACCAAGGACTATTGTGACAGAC